TCCCTGTGGGAATATTCCTTTACACTGTGAATACATGCTGCTGTGTTTGGTTTAGTAATGAAGCTTGACTGGCCAATAGCTGAACAGGATAAAGTTAGGCAGGAGAGCCAAACTGAGAATGATGGGAAGAAGAAGGGCGGGGTCAGAGAAGTCATCAGCCAGACATAGAGAAAGCAGGACATGTAGAAAATGTGGTGGTAAGCCATGGGCCATGTGGCAAAGCATAGATAAGAAATATGGGTTTACTTAAAATATAAGAGCTAGCTAGTAACAAGCCTGAGCTATCTGCTGAGCATTTATAATTAATGAAAACCTCAGTGTGTTTATTTGGGAGCTGCTGGCAAGACAGAAACTTCTGCCTACACTTCCACTTACCTCCTCCATAGCCCCTAGGGGCTCCTTATCTGTTCTCCATTTCTTTGACCTTATCCTTTCAAGAATGTCACGTACATGGGAAGATACAGTAAGTAACTTTGGGGAGTTGGTTTTTATCCACTAAAAACAATTCTCCAGTGATTCACTAGGTGACTATGTGTATCAATAGTTTGTTCTGTTTTTAATTATTGAGTAGTATTCCATGGCATGCATGTACCACAGTGTGTTCAACCATTGTTAATCCCATAGGTTGGGAATAAGACCACTACCACAATTTAAAGCCAAATTTGCAGAAAGCTTTAATTAAATACTGGCCAGGTGGATGGGCTCTGGTCAGGTCCATCGCTGGATTCCCAGAAAATGGCCTTGAGTTACGTTTTTGCAGGGGCATAAAAAGGCAAACCCACAATTCACCACATTTCCCATTAGGTCCAATCAGGTACAGGCATATATCCTGACATATTTCCTGCCTGCGTATCTCCCACCCACACGTGATCAAGTGCATCCGGTGCAGATGGGTCAAACAAACATAAGAAAAACAGGAACTTATTCTTAATTGTCTTAACTACAAACAGAGCCCTTAACCTGCAAGGTATATTTTTCCTGTTTTGGTCTCACACCATCTTCTGATTAAAGGGCCATTAAACTGTTTCAAGTTTATGACCATTACATATAAAGCTGCTATGAAAATTCACCTGTAGGTTTTGTATGAATACAAGTTTTCATTTCTCTGGCATAAATATATACAGATACAATGGCTAGGCCACATGCTATTTGCAAATTAACTTTTAAAGAACCTCCAACCATTTTATTTTGAACTATAACCTCCAAGGCCTGGCCCCTCCTGACCCCCGTCCCTCCCAGCCTCCTCCCTGCTCCTCCCAGCCTCCTCCCTGCTCCTCCCAGCCTCCTCCCAGCCCCTCCCAGCCTCTCCCTGCCCCCATCCCAGCCCCTCCCTGCCCCCATCCCAGTCCCTCCCAGCCTCCTCCCTTCCCCCTCCCAGCCCCTTCCTGCCTCTCCCTGCCATCTTTTACCCTGAATAACTTTTAGGATCACTGATGCAGATCTAAGGCCAGTCCTCCACCAACACACACAGAGGCCTCAGCACCCACCATTGTACACTTTGGTTATGATGTGGGGACAGGCCTGGGCATGTGATCTCCAGACAGAACAGTCCAATGGAAAGTGGCAGTAGCCCCAAATAAAACTTACTACCACAGGGGAATTGAGCAAAGGTTCTTGATAGATAAGCTGTCCAAACAGAGCTGTGTTCTAAGTAGAATCACCTCCCCGATGAATCTTCCAGGCACCCGCTAGTCCCAGAGGAAGGCTTCTCCTTACAAATGAGCAGGAAAAGCCTAGTTAAAAACATTCACACAGTCCCAAACACAGGGGAACCAAGACAGGTCTGTATTTCATGCTGGAAAATGAAAACCAAATAAATAAAACTCCCTGTCACGGCAACAGGCCAGTTCAACTCTGGGAGTGAACGTCCAAAATACGCCTGGCTTCTATAGAAGCTTCTGGAACAAATTCAGAATCCTATGTACTCAGCTGGCCTGAGCCTGGGCTGGAGAAGGGTGTTAATATTACCTAAATTAATCTCTTACTTTCTTATTATATTGATTTCCTTCACCTTGGACATTTGTTTGGCATTTGTACTTATTAGGGGACTGCTGGAAGAAATGATTTGATAATATTGTAAAATAACGCTTTGGCCTGACTTAAAACGGAAACATTTATAGCATTCCTGCTGACGCCAGATGGTGTCAGCCTGACTACTGTGCTGCCGCTTCAAAAACACGTGGAGGTGAAGGAAACTTCAACAAGTCCCAGTGAGCCAGAGCTCTGGGGCCTTTTCTGCTTACACACACAGTGACAGGACTCGATTTAGAGTTGCCATGGAAACCATCTGAGGTGCATCTGTGAGGGTGTTTGCAGAAAGGTTTAACTAGATGTGGTATCAGCAGCCCATAGGTTGAAGACCTGGACTGAATAAAAAGGAAAAAGTGAGCTGAGCACCAGAGGTCATTTCTTTCTGCTTCCTGGCTGTGGGTACAATGTGACCAGCTGTCTCCTTCTCATCCCACCATGTTTTGCCTGATGGGATGGGGCTATGTCCCCTCAAACTGTGAGCCCAAACAAATTCTTTCTTTCTTAAGTTAGCTTATTCTTTCTATGTGCTGGGCATCCAGGTGTGGTACCTGACCCTGCCTGTGGGCATCCAAGATGTGGTGGCTCTGACAGTTAGGAACTTCTGTGTCTCTGCATCTAAGACAGAGATGAAAGATTCTAGAGATGGCCCAGATACTGCTGTGTACAAGTGTCCGTGTCCCCTCCCAGCCCAGGGCCTTGTAACTTGAAGTCCTCTGTGACCAGACATCCATGGCTTTGTTCCCCACTTTGATTCCCTACCCATTTTTCTCCTGGCTTTTCTTTTTCAGAGCTGAGGACTGGACCCAGGGCCTTGCTCTTGCTAGGCAAGTTGCTCTGCCATTGAGCTAAATCCTCAATGCCTTTCTCCTGACTTTATCCTCCTTTTTTTTCATCCTTTTCTTCTCATAAGCCAGATCTATTAAACTACTTAATTATACTCTAGTCTTATCCCGGAAGCCTCAGCCCCATAGTGGAAATGGGTAAGACATTGCAAGCTCCACGCAGTTAGTCACCGTGTTCAGCAGAATCCTATAACTCCCCTCCCAAAGGCTCCCAGCCCAGGGCAGCTGGAGGGGTGACATAGGACAGGGTACAGTCTTCAGCTCACTGCTGCCAGATCTGCTTTATGCCACGTGTAGCCGGACCCCAGCCGGGCAGTCCTGAGTTGCATCGCTCACCTGGGGCATCGTGAGAACTACGGAAAACTGGGGTGAACATGAGGGTCAGAGGAAAGAAGTTTCACCTCAGGCTTCAATGCAGGCTCTGAGAGAGATAAACAGTGTGTGGGAAAAGAGCAGAACCAATTGCAGGAGTCTTCAAAGACTAAACTATGAAGTGTAATGGGCACTGTGGGCCATGGGTAGGAGGAAAGGCAGGCCTGCAGTTCTGGACAGACAACCATATCCTCAGCATCCACCAGAGGACCCAGAGCTTGAGTTGATGAGCTAGGAAATACTAAGCCTGCTTCATGGAGCTCCTATATTAGTCTGCTTGGGCTGTCAAAATAGAATACTGTAGAACGAGTTATATGAACAAGGACTTTAGTTTTCATAGTTCTTGAGTCTAAAAAATTAGGATGAAGGTATACGGCCAATTAGATTTCTGTAAGGGCCCTCTTCCTATCTTTGAGACAGACAGACAGACAGACAGACACACACACACACACACACACACACACACACACACACACACACACGAGAGAGAGAGAGAGAGAGAAAGAGAGACAGACAGACAGACAGAGACAGAGAGTGCATTCCTGATGTCTCAGTGTTGGATATGTTTGAAGTGAAACTTTGTCCTGTGCGTCCTGGTGTTGAAGTGGTTAAACTTATAAGGGAGTGGCCTAGTAAGAGGTGGTTAGCTCATTGGGTGTTGCCTGTGGTAGTTTCAATGAGAATGGTCCCTATAGGCTCATATATTCGAAGACTCCATCAGAAGTTGGTGGGACTGTTTGGGAAGGATTAGGAGGTGTGGCATTATTAGAAGAGGTGTGTCTGTGGAGATGGACTTTGAGGTTCCAAAAACCAGAGCCATTCCCAGTGTCTCTCTCTTTCTGCCTTGTGATGGTGGATAAGGTGTAAGCTCTCAGCTACTGCCCCAGTGCCATACCTGTCTGCCTGCTGTCATGCCCCCACCATGACAGTCCTGGACTTAAACCCTCTGGGACTATGAGCCCCCAAATTAAAGACTGTCTTTTATAAGTTGTCTTAGTTGTGGTGTTTTAACACAGCAATTGAAAAGTAACTAAAGCACTGCCCTTAGAAGGTATCGATATAATTCTTCTAGAATCCTATGTAATTTCTGGAAGAATAAATTATACAAGAGAGCAAAGTTGGCCCATCCTCCTGCTCTCTAGCTTCCTGTTTCCCATGTAATCTCTCTCTCTTGCTCGCATACACTTTAACCATGGTGCCATCCACCATGATGTGTCTTAGCCAGGGGCTCCTCATCAGAGGCTGAATAAATGGTTTCCCCCAATCTTGGACTTCCAACCAGCTCTGAGAGGAGCTGGTGCCTGAAGACAGCACACTGATCTGCGTGCGGCCTCCCCTTCCCACACTCCCGCAATGGCGTTAACATGGCCACCACTGTGCACAGGACCCCAAACATTTCCTCTTCCTCTCCATAAGGTGAGCAGTTTGGGCCCAGCATGTGAGTCTTTTGTGGTGTGCTGCCTGCCTCACCCAGGGCCCAAAGCCACAGGGCCGATCTGTCATGGATGGGAACCTCCAAAGCTACCAGCCAAAATAAACCTTTTCTCTCCGTAAATTCATAATCTCAGGTATTTGTTATAGTAACAGAAATCTGACTAACACAAACCCCAATCCAAAACCAGACACCAACATTACAAGAAAAGAAAACCACAGACCAATATTCCTCATGGATACAGACACAAAAATCCTTAACAAAATAATATCAAATTGAACACAGCATTTTTTTTAAGGGACAATACAGCATGACCTAGTGGATCTGTTCCCAGGAATGCAAGACTGTTTTATTATTTCAATATCAATCATTTAGAATATTCATCACACTATCAGAATTAACAAAAAAAAGACATAGAACCATCTTAGTCGATATAAGGACAGCATTTAACAAAATTTAATGTTTCATCATGATACAGAGTCTCAGAATAGTAGAAGGAGGGAGTGTCTTCAGGCTGACACAGGGAGTTAAAAAAAAGAAACTTCAAGTTAACACCCTGAAATACAGAAGGTTTCTTCTGAAAATGGACAACGTAGCAAGAATGTCCACTCTGACTGCTACAGCCCACATTTACTGGAAACCACTGTTCCCTGGAACAACAGAGCAAAGAAGCTGAACTAGAGGCTGAGAGAGACTGGAAAGAGCTAAGATGAACCTTGGAGGGGGCTTCTAGCATCTCTGGATACAAGAGCATTTTAACAAATAATCAAAATAAATAAAATTATCAAAAATTCCACTTGACTACAAAGATTGAGGGACTACTCAACAGTTATTAATATTCACAACACCCTACACATGTACACAATCTCTCTCTCTCTCTCTCTCTCTCTCTCTCTCTCTCTCTCTCTCTCTCTCTCTTTCACACACACACACACACACACACACACACACACACACACACACACACACACTTTAAAATCCTATGTATCAAATCACATGACCACAAGAGGCAAAAGGCTATCTTACAGAACAGAACCAAACATTTTCAGAGTTATATATATCTGATAAGAGTCTAGGATCCAGAATACTGAAAGATCTTCCTAACTCCACAGCAAGAAAGACACTGACCTAACAGCAAAACAGCCACAAGATGCTCACACACACTTTTCCCACAGCCATAAAGGGGCACTAGGCACCTGGAAAGAGGTTCCCACATCATTAGAGCGACACCAACAGCAATGACGTAACATTTCATACCAACTAGGGTGACCATAAAGAAAATGGAAACATGAACAAGTGCTGGTGAGTCCATGGAGAAACGGAAGCCTTTGCACACTGCTGGGGGGGTGGGGGGGGGTGAGCGGTGCCGCCACTTTGGAAAACAGCTCAGTAGTTCCTGGCAAAGCTAAACACAGAGGTATTTTATGAGTCGGGAATTCTATTCCTAGATGCACACTCAAAAAAATCGAAAACAATTATTGAAACAAAAACACATGCATAAATGTCCATGGGCACAGTATTCATGAGACACTCAGGTGCTCATGGGCACAGCATTCACAGGACACATGCACTGGAGTCTATGGGTAGGGTGTTCACAAGACACGTGCCCAGGTGTTCCCAGGTACTGCACTCACAAGCCACAGTATCTTAGGGTTTCTGTCACTGTGTGAAATACCGTGATCAAAGGCATGAGGAGGAAAGGGTTTATTTCCCTCACACTTCCCTATCACAGTTCATCATCAAAGGCAGTCATGGCAGGAACTCAAATAGGTCAGGAACCTGGAGGCGGAAGCTGATGCAGAGGCCACGGAGGGGTGTTGCTTACTCTTGTGCTCCTTATGGCTACCTCAGCCTGCTTTCTCATAGAACCTAGACAGCTGGTTCCACCCACAATGGGCTGGGCCCTCCCAAATTGATCACTAATTAAGAAAATGCCTTACAGGCTTGCCTAAAGCCTAATCTTATGGAGGCATTCTCTCTACTGAAGTTTCCTCTTCTCAGAAAACTAGCTTGTATGCAGTTGATGTAAAAACTAGCCAGCACACATGTACATAGGTGCTCACGGGCACAGGGCTCACCAGACACATGCTCCACTTCTACAGAACACTCAGATGAGTTTATACAGACAGGAAGTAGATTAGTGATGGCAAGGGGAAGGTTAGCAAGTGTGATTACTAATCAATGTAGAGTTTCTGGGGCGGGGGCGGGGGCTGGAGGACACAGGGGTAATGGTTGCACAGCCTTGTGAGTGTACTAAAATTATTCATTTGTCTATTTTTAAAATATTTATTATTTATTTTATGTGCATGAGTGTTTTGGCTTCATGTTTGTATGTGTGTTACATGTGTCCCTGGTGCCCACAGAGAGAGATCAGAAGAGGGCATCGGATCTTCTGGAACTGGAGTTGCGGATGGTTGTGAGCTGCCATTTGAGTTCTGGAAAGCAAACCCAGGTCCTCTGCAAGAGCAGCCAGTGCTCTTAACTGCTGAGCCAGCTCTCCAGCCCCTAAGATTCTTTTTACTGCATGTAAATTATCTTTCAATTTTTTTCCAAAGCAAGATTCTAGAAACATAAAAATACTTAAAACGTGGGGGCCGAGAGATGGCTCGGTAGCTAAGAGCACTGGCTGCTTTTCCAGAGGACCTGAGTTTGATTCCCAGCACCCACACAGTAGCTCATACCCATCTGTAACTCCAGTGCCAGGGGATCCAACACCCTTTTTCCCCCTGTACAGGCATCCGGCACCTATGTGGTGCTCAGATGTACATGCACACAAAACAGCAATACATATAAAAAAAAATTTAAAAAGAAAATATAAAATGTACATACTCCTGTGTAAATAGTTAAATATCACTTATAGTAACAACTGAAATCCATAACTATTAGGAATAAATTTAATGAAATATATGAAGAAGTCTGTGCACTAAGAGCTATGAGAAACCACTAAGAGCACTTAAAAAGGACTTACATTACCTGACAGACAGGTTGTGTTTATGTTTAGAATACTCAATACTGTTAAGATGCTCAGTCTTCTCAAACTGATCTGTGGACTCAAATCAAAATCCTAGCAGGCTGTTTTTAAAGAAACCAATAGTCTGGTGGTGGTGCACACCTTTAATCCCAGCACTTGGGAGGCAGAGGCAGGCAGATCTCAGAGTTCAAGGCCAGCCTGGTCTAGAGTGAGTTCCAGGACAGCCACGGCTGCACAAAGAAACCCTGTCTCAGGGGAAGAAAGAAAAAAAAAAGCCAAGAAGGAAGCAACAGTCTGACCTACCTATTTACCTGTTATGTGGGGAACAACACTTGGACTTGGAGAGGACAATCTCAAAAAAGACAGAGCTGAAGCTTCTTGGGACCTGGTCTCAAGACTTCAGTGCATCTGTGGTGTGGCTGGCAAGGTGGCTCAGTGGGTAAGAACACAGACTGTTCTTGCAGAGGACTAGAGTTCGGTTCCAAGCTCTATGTGAAGCAGCTGGCAACGGCCTGTAAGGAGCTCTGGGGATCCAACAGGCACCTTACACTTACACGAACAAACCTCCATAGGCACCTTATAGTCATATGCACACACACACACACACACACACACACACACACACACACGAAATAAATCTATAGTAATTATGATGACTTGCTTTTGTGTAGAGAGGTCAATGGGCTAGGACAAAAAAGACAAGGAATGGGCCCGACAGATGCCCAACTGGTTATCAAGACAGGAAACTACTGTCTTCCACAGGGGAAGGAAAATCTCCTGAGCAGGCAGTACTTGAACAACAGAATGCTGATACGAGCAAATAAAAATAAGCATTGCTCCCCACCCCACATCACACACAAAATAACTTGAATTAGGTCACAGCCTTTCAGAAAGGTAAAACTGTAATGGGTCCTGAGACAAGCAGGGGAGAATATCTTCATGACTTTAGGAGGGGGTGGGTGGATAGAGGCAAAGCTTTCTTAGGACACACACACAAAGAAGGGAAAAGAAAACAGAAAAACAGGGGACATACAAGAAAAAGATTCAAAAAAGACATCCCAGTAAAAATTCAACTCATCAGAATGAAAAGAATGAACACCATGGAGCCTCACGGAGCCCCAGCACCTTAGCCGGCCTCCACCTCTCAGCTCCAGAAGTTTGGATCACGGAAAAGCCCGGGCCAGCTCCCACCCACCTCTGTCGCATAGACTGACTGACAGGGTCGACAGGTTGCGAGAAAGGAGTGCAGCTCTACCCAGTCAAGAGCTTTCCCGTCTAACAACAGTGACCACACTTGTGATGCCACTTTTGCAGATACTCCCGGGCTATGGTTTCTCCTCATTCCCTTAGCTCGGAATTGGTAGCCAGTTTCCAGGCACTTAAGGCATTAAAAATAACATTTTGAACATCATGGTAAAACTGACAGTTCTGACACACCCATACAATACCCAAGCTTGAGAAGGGGCTTATACTGAAGACACTGAAGCATGTGTGTGTGTGTGTGTGTGTGTGTGTGTGTGTGTGTGTGTGTGTGCGCACATGTGAATGTGCATGCACATATGTGTTTAGTCCGGAACTCTAACTATGTAGACCGAGCCGGCCTCATGGCAATCCCCCTGCCTCAGCCATGAGCACTAGGATCAGAGGCATGAACAACCACCAGCAGCAGTACTTCACAGCAGTAGCACACTGCAAAGCACTTCTGTGTAAAGCTGCAGAAGAACTGTGAAGTGCGGGACTGTGCCCTCTGATGATGAGTGCATTGGGGCCTCTGCCATTCTTGAACTGACCCTTGTGCAATGACGTCAGACCTAGAACCCGGGACTTCTACCCCAGTCTCAAGCCAAGACCTAAGAGAACAGGGCTCAGCCACTGTTGCTGCATTAGCACGAGGGGGAGGTAAATCTGCATGGAAATAACCTTTACTGAGTTTACAGAATGGTGAGGGAGCCAGCCAGGCGTTTTTGTCCATGTCTGCATACTGCTCTACTTAGTGAAAGGCTGTCCTGCTGCTCCAGAAGACCCTGCGAGCTCCAGCTTGCGCTGTGATATTAAGCACCTCAGAAAACCCAGAGCGAGAAGGTCAGTTGGATTCTGCTTAACTTTGCTTCGTTAGGAAGCATTAAAACTCTTAATAGCTGGGCGATGGTGGCACATGCCTTTAATCCCAGCACTCGGGAGGCAGAGCCAGACGGATCTCTGTGAGTTCGAGGCCAGCCTTGGGCTACAGAGTGAGTTCTAGGAAAGGCGCCAAAGCTACGCAGAGAAACCCTGTCTCGAAAAACCAAAACAACAACAACAACAACAAAAACCTCTTACTAACTAAATAACAAAAACTATGATGTGCATTTGACAAGGGACTGAGCCTGCAGGGGGCTCAATCTAAGTCTGACTAACAGCCATTTAGGGTCTGGTTTTCTGTGCTGGCTCATACGTACGTGTGGGTCACATGCTAGATAGCAAAGCACATGGAGGCAGGAAGAGGCCAGCAAAGGGCAGAGAACAGGAGGCTGAGACACTGCGGAGCTAAGGAGACAAGAAAGCTGCAGAGATGCAAGACGAAACAACACTGGACGGTGCAGTGTCAGGCTTTGGGAGCTGAGCCAAGCATGCTGGGCTTCAGGGGGTGTGGTGTATTGCAGGCTTTCAATGGTGTGTTTGCCGGCTTCCTTCTTTCTGTGACTTTGTGACTTTAATTATCTTGGGTGTGGTGTGTCACAAACAGGCAAATCAAGACTGTAGTTGCTGAACATGGTGTGCACACCTGTAATGTGAGACAGGGATTGGGGGGTAGGGATCAGGAGTTCAAAGTCATGCTCAGCTCCGCAGCAAGTTCATGGCCAGCCTAGGCTATATAAGTTTGTCCTAAAACAAAGATCTCAGGGCTGGAGAGATGGCTCAGTGGCTAAGAGCACTGGCTGCTCTTCCAGAGGACCTGGGTTCAATTCCTAGCTCACAGCAGTTTGTAAGTCCAGTTCCCAGGGATCATGCCTATGCACTCTTCTGGCCTCTGTGGACACAAAGCATGTAAAACAATGATAACAACAAAAGGCTAAAGTGTAGTCTGTTGTAGACTACACGCTTAGCAGGGGGAAATTCAAGGTTCCATCCCCAGACCAGCATTTATTCCATAAACTGTGTACAGTGGTGCACGCCTGTAATTCCAGCACACAGGAGATGAAAGCAGGAAGACTGGAAGTTCAAGGTCACCCTCTGCCACAGAGCACATTCATGGCCAGCTGGGCATACATGAGACCTTGTCTCAAAAAATAAATAATGAAAATTACACCAACATCTTAAAAGACTCTAACGTTATATTTAAGGCATTTCTCCTGGAGACAAGGACAACTTTTCTTCAACTTTGCGCCTTGGCTAACCTCTCTCTCCTGGGGAAGCAACTGCAGCCTGAGAGACTCACACTGAGTGAAAACCGGAGTGCTGTGGATTTGTAAACTCACAAATCACTGGAAACAACTGCCTCCTCTCAGTCTCTACTGGGTAGGACTTAGTGCAGTAGGTAGGCATGCAGAGTCATTTCCAAAACATCTCTTAAGGCAAGCTCCGCAACACACCATTTCTTAAGGCGGACATCACGTTGACAATAATTTCCTGTTTTTTCGAGTTCTATTCAACACATTCAACAAGTAACGAGTTGCCTTTTGAATCAGAAATAAGTTAATCCAGGATTTTAAAGTACATATTAATAGCTCCTGTGGGTTGTACAATCGATATCAGAGCAATTGATAAAGGACCAAGAGCGGATGAGTGCTTGCTCAGTGGCCATGCTCCTTAACACTCCTGTGGCCTGGAAGGCCGTGTTAGGATCTGCGAGCGTGATGGCTAAACTTGATAGCTTTAGGATCTCCTAGGAGACACACTTCTGCTCGTGTCTTTGAGGGCACTTCTAAAAAGGTTTAACTGAGGCGGGAACAATCGTCCTCAATGCGGGCAACACATTCTGATGAATTGGGGGTCCCAGACTGAATAAAAAGGAAAAAGTGAGGTGAGCACTTGCATTCTTCTCTCTGTGCTTCCTGATTCCTGACGCAATGTGGCCAGCTGTCACATGCTCCCGGCACCATGCGTGCCACCAACCTGAATGCCCCATGCTCCCGGCACCATGCATGCCGCCAACCTGAATGCCCCATGCTCCCAGCACCATGTGTGCCGCCAACCTGAATGCCGCCAATCTGCATGCCCCATGCTCCCGGCACATTGCATGCTGCCAACCTGATTGCCCCATGCTCCCAGCACCATGCATGCCGCCAACCTGAATGCCGCCAACCTGCATGCCCCATGCTCCCAGCACACTGCATGCTGCCAACCTGATTGCCCCATGCTCCCGGCACCAAGCATGCTGCCAACCTGTCCTGCTATGGTGAACTGTACTCTCAAACTGTGAACCAAAATAAGTCCTTCTTCCCTTAAATGGCTTCTGTGGGGTTATCTTGTCATTGCAAGGAGAAAAGCAAACGATACAATGCGTGAGATTTCCCTTCATGACGTCTGACAAAGACGTGGCTGCTCCACAGCGGGGAGGGCTGAAGATGGCTTTCAGGCCTTCATTACTCTTTATCTACTTTTTAAAATAGTTCACATTTTCAGGACAGGTGCAAAGGCCCTACACACACTTCCCATAACCCCAACACCTAGGTTCCCCATTGCTATGTGTATTTGTATGGTGTATTTGTTACCCTTTGTATGATGTATTGGTTAGAATTAACAAACCCATGTTGATACATTATTAACTAAGGTGCATAGCTGATTTGGATTTCCTTGGCTTACCCCCAGTGCTCTTTCCCACCTCGTGGTCCCATTCAGATCTCATACTACATTGAGTTGCCCGTCTCCTGGGGCTCCTCTTGACCAGCACACTTTCCAGACATTCCTATTTTTGACAGCCTTGCCAGTCTCAAAGAGTACTCACGAGGAATTTTGTAGAAGGTCCTTCCAGAAGGACTTGCTGATGTTCTCATGACTACTCGGGGTTACTGGGCTAGGGCGGAAGTCCATCAGAGGGGAAGTGCATCCTCATTGTGTTTATCAGGGGCACATGCTATCAAAGTGACTTTGTACTGTGGGAGGAAGTAGGTTGCTGTCCGGATTCAGCAATGGAGAAAGGGGGAGGAGACTGACCAAACAGGATCCCTCTGCCTCACCTGCCTCCCAGGAAGCTCCAGTGACACACACCCCACTAAGTGAAAGTGACCACTTCAAAGAAGGGAGGAGTTACCCTGCCTTCTGGACTCACTGGGTGTCTAGTGAGTAGATGCCTATTAGACAGTGACTGGGTCACAAGGAAGCAAGCCCAGGACTCCTGGGGGTGATGGGAGTAGCAGCATTCGGGTGGGTCATTTGCTTAGGATGCACATGCTCAGAATAAGGCCTGTTTAAAAGAGCATCCTACTTCTTCAGTTTGTTGCTGTTGTGTCTAGCACTGAGGGTTGAACTCAAGCCCCTGAACATTCTAGGCAAATGCTCTACCATCGGGTCATCCCAGCTCGGAGTGTCCCAAGTACATTAAGACACAAGCGCGGTGCGTATACGACACAAACCGGAGCATTAGCAGAAACATCCTGCAGTTTGAAACATGGGTTCAGAGCCACAGGGCCTGGGAGCACCCCAGAGTAGCCTTGGAAAGTACTAAACACAGTGCATGGGTGGGTGTCTGCAAGATCTGTAACAGAGCCATTCACGGGGCCTGCTGGACTGCAGCAGCAGCATGCTGCAGTGGTGGAGAGCGCACTTTCCCAGCTTCTTCTGGCTTATCCTCGAGCACTCTGCCTGGCATGCAGGCCAGGGTTCTCGGGGGCTGTGGGTTGCTCCCACATGGAAAGTCCCAAAGCCGCTGCAGGATGTCCTCCTCAGTGCCCCATCCTGTTCCTATCACAGCTGCAGCAGCCTGGGCCACATTCCTCCCTCCTGAGTCACTGTGGCAGGCCTGGGCTCCTTGCTCTGGAAGCCAGGTCACCACCTGCTCCATCTTTGGCTTGTCCTTTTCTTCTCCACGCATGTTACGAACGTTTTAATTGCTGTAGGAAATGACTATCATCCGAGGAAAGTTTTCTGTTCTTAACTTACCCTCTTGCCTTTTCTGTGTCCTCAAAAATCTAGCCTGTTCCCTCCCTGCCTCCGATTATAACAATACACTTCTTTTTACTTACATTCTCCCGAACATTCCAACACCATTTTTGGTGGAGAGAGCCTACCCTGGTCAGTTCAGTCCAGTTCCCGTCATCTTTGTGGTGTGTTTCTGACCTTCATGCTTATCAGTGTCTCTTCCTGGCCATCCTTCTCCTGTGTTCTACCACTGTGACATCTTCACCCCTTTGGAGATAAGGTTGAGACTCGCTGTATGACTCGGGCTGGCTTGAGTCTGCTGTATTGCTCAGGTTAGCCTCAAACTCACAGTCCTCCTGCCTCAGCCTCCCAAGTGCTAGGATTACAGGTATGAGTCACCATGCCCAGCTACATCGATCATCATTTAAACTCTCATATGGCAGGATGGGTCTTGCCATTCCCAGGTGGATGGATAAGAAATGAAATGGGCTGGGTAGATGGCTCGGCAGGTACGGGCCCTTGATGCATAAGCATGAAGAACAGACAGTGCAAATATCCAGCGGCCTTGTAAAAGGCCAGGGGTGGCTATGCGCACCTGTAATGCCAGCACAGTGGGGACAGAGACAGGAAGGTCACTGGGGTTTGCTAGCCACCAGCCCAGCTCCAGGTTCAGTAAGAGATCTGCCTCCAGGTCTTTTAAGATGAAAAATGACACAGCAGGATCACTTGATGTCCTTCTCTGGCCTATGTGTGCCCCATGTGCACATATAACACACACGCACATGCACATGCACACATGCACACGCACGCACATACGAAAGGAAGGAAGGGGGAGGGGGGGAGAGAGAGAGAGAGAGAGAGAGAGAGAGAGAGAGAGAGAGAGAGAGAGAAGAGCAAGCTGCCAAACATCTAAACCAAATGATTTTGAACTTGTATCAACCAGTAACTTTGAGATCAGGTAGACTTTAGTCTCTTAAAACTACAGTCATATCAGGTGAAATTTCAAGTTCAATGTAAGTATAACATATATTTGGGGGATAAATTCTGTTTTAATTACAGGATTCTAGAGAAGCCACAGAGTGGCAGTGGGTTTAGCAAATGTATGGGAAGAAGACAGGATTGCAAGCATTCTCTTCATGGCCATTGGCAGTTTCACCCAAAAGAGTGGTGCTATCCATGTCCCCTTGGGTTAGAGTATTGTCCTCACAATACTCCCACTTTCAGTTACATTTATTCATTGTGTGTGCGCATGTGTGTGCATGCATATGTGTATGCACACATGTACGTGTGTGTGTGTGTGTGTGTGTGTGTGTGTGTGTGTATGTGTGTGTGTATGTGTGTGTGTATGTGTGCAGCTTGCAGGAGTCAGTCCTCTCTCTTCATCACACAGATTCAGGCACAGATCCTAAGACCTGGTTACCCCCTGAACCATCTCACCTGCCCTACCCCCACCACTTTGAAGAACTGCTCGTTATTCCGTGAATTCCACATGATGCTAAGTGCCAAGTAGTTTCTAGTTACTTTTCCTCCATTGAAAACCTCCCTCTCATACTTAGTAGTTACTCTATACACTCCAGACCGGCCTGGAACTCACTATGTACCCAAGGCTGACCTTGAACTTCTGATCCCCCTCCCTCCACCTCCCAAATGCACCATCAGGCTTGATTCTATGTGGTTCTGTGGATTGAAGCTGGGGTTTTGTGTATGCTAAGCAAGCGCTCTATCAGCTCAGCTACAGCGCCAGCCCCTCTGTGGGTTTTCCTTTGTCTGTTTCTTTTGTTTTTTGGGGACGATGTCTCATGGAATCCAGACTGGTCTCAAACCAGAATATAGTTGAGGATAAACTTGAACTCCTGATCCTCCTGCCTCTATGTTCCAAGTACTGGGAAGACAGGTATTCACCACCACAACTGGGAGATGTTTCTAGAGGTCTACCGCGTTCAGAGTCTACAGAGCGTCCGTCTCCCAGACCACAGGGTCTCAGCCTAGTGAACAAGGCAACTACAAAGTGGAGGACGGCAGGGCCAGGGAGGGGACATGGGAGCTTTCCAGAAGAGGCAATTGCTGAGCTGAGTGCTGACAGATAGTTGGCTGCTCTAGGTGACAGGGACAGAGAATGAGCTTGCCATGACGTGGGAAAAGAAATATGACACTGGATATGACTTATTTCAGGAGATACTAGGCCAGAATTGTCAGTGGGACTTAACACTCTTGCATGCCCAGAGTGCGGTTCTGAGACTCGTGAAGCAAGGATGCAAAGCCGCAAGTCTTCATCAGGATCTGCTCTTCAGAAGTGGTGAGAGCGGCAGGGTGGAGAGCCAGGGGAGCCAGCACCCTCCTCCCTGACGGCTCTCCTTCCCAGAGGCCTCAGCACAGGCTTGGGCCTTGACTCTCATGCAGCGTGGGTGAATGGACCATTGTCTCCAAGACTGTTACTTTCAGGTTAATAATGAAGCAACGACGTTCTGTGAGTACTGATGAGACAGCATGTGACCTGCTTATTACAAAAGCAACCAACGGAACCTGGTTGTCACCAAGTACAGACGGGGGCTGGGCTCTTCCTTAAGAACTGCATACCAAGAGACACAGCATACTTATAACAGTACTGTGTGCCTTACAGCTCATCTTCTGGCCCTTACAGACCCGGTTTACTCTGATCATGTGTGCACGTGTGTGTGCATGCATGTGCATGTGTGTGTGTGTGCGTGCGTGCGTGCGTGCGTGTGTGTGTGTGTGTGTACATGTGCACAGGTGTTTGGATGTGTGGATGGGCAAATGTGCAAATGATGGTATGTGCATGTCTGTGGAGGCCAGAGTTTGCTCAGGTGTCTTTATCACTCTGCATCTTATTTTTGAGACACAATCTCTCACTGAGCCTGGAACTCCCCAATTCTGCTAGACTGGCTGGCTTGAAAGCCCTAGGGATTCTCCTGCCTCCACCTCCCTGGCAGTAGGGTTACAAGTGTGCCCAGTCACTCTTCAGCTGGGCGCTAGAGCTCCAATTCAGGTCCTCGTGCTTGTGTGGTAAGCACTTTACCAACTGAGCCATCTCCCCAGCCTCCACCTCCCCAGCCTCCCATCTCCCCAGCCTCCCACCTCCTCAGCCTCCATCTCCCCAGCCTCCACCTCCCCAGCCTCCCACCTCCTCAGCCTCCCACCTCCTCAGCCTCCCACCTCCCCAGCCTCCCACCTCTTCAGCCTCCCACCTCCCCAGCCTCTCATCTCCCCAGCCTCCCACCTCCCCAGCCTCCCACCTCCCCAGCCTCCCATCTCCCCAGCCTCCCACCTCCCCAGCCTCTCATCTCCCCAGCCTCCACCTCCCCAGCCTCCCACCTCCCCAGCCTCCCACCTCCCCAGCCTCTCATCTCCCCAGCCTCCACCTCCCCAGCCTCCCACCTCCCCAGCCTCCCACCTCCCCAGCCTCCATCTCCCCAGCCTCCACCTCCCCAGCCTCCCACCTCCCCAGCCTCCCACCTCCCCAGCCTCCATCTCCCCAGCCTCCATCTCCCCAGCCTCCCACCTCCCCAGCCTCCATCTCCCCAGCCTCCCACCTCCCCAGCCTCTCATCTCCCCAGCCTCCTGAGATCTCCCCAGCCTCCCACCTCCCCAGCCTCTACCTCCCCAGCCTCCCACCTCCTCAGCCTCCCACCTCCCCAGCCTCCCACCTCCCCAGCCTCCACCTCCCCAGCCTCCACCTCCCCAGCCTCTGGAGATCTCCCCAGCCTCCCGAGATCTCCCCAGCCTCCCATCTCCCCGTACTTTGATTAAAAAGGCAAACAAAACCTGGTGTTTCTGTAATGACAATGGGTCAGAAAATCTTCAGAAAGGAAAAGAACCTCGCTGCCTATTGCTCCCAGCTCTGGCCCACCAGGTTCATCAACATGAATTTAGTTCCATTAGATCAACGGCCCCTAAAGGAACAGAGCAACCATTTAAAGAGACATCACAGCTGACAAAGACATCGAACATCTTCGCTCATGTAATTGTTTTTTTTACTCAGAAATTTACAAAGCACATATGATGTGTGAGACTCACTGCTAGGCCTGGTAATGCCAGTGAAAAGTGGGTTTAATTAAATGTATCTACCCAATCTTCCCTGCCAAGAAAGTGTATTGGTCAGGGTTCCTTGGGGAAACAGGACAGGAATGGCATACATTACTTAAGGTACTGGGGACCTCATTCTTTTTCTTCTCGTGGGCCTTCAGTAGATTTGAGACCCATTTGTACGTTGGTGGGCAACACACTTAATTCAAGTCCCCCTGAATCATTAATTTCATCTCAAAAGATCAATTTCACCCCTTTCAGTAACATCTAGACCAGTGTTTCCCAACCTATGGGTCGTGACCCCTGTGGGTTGTCATGCTTGAATATCAGATATCCTGCATGTCAGATATTTACATGACAACTCATAACACTAGCAAAATTAGAGTTATGAAGTAGCAGCAAAAGTAATTTTACAGTTGGGGGTCACCACAACATGAGGAACTGTATTGAAGGGTTGCAATATTATAAAGGTCAAGAACCACCGATCTAGACACATTTGACTGGATTCCTGGGTGTCATCACTGCAGTGTGGGATCACGCACGGAGGATAATTGGGGTGTGCTCACCCAGGCAGAGTCCCTGTCTCCTCCTCACCCTCTTCAGGCAGCTCCAGACCAATCTTCTCCAGGGGAAGCAGAAGCTGTGGTGTCCTGCGGGCAGACAGAGAGGCCTGGCTCATGACCCTCCCTGCTCCCTAGGAGCTGTACTGTTTCATAACCCTTGAACTTCAGGTTTCCTGGGTGTGAGGCGAGCACTCTGGACTGTTGTGAGCATGAGACACACATGAGAACCGATGCTTTGTGCTCTCTTAGGAGTGGCCATGGCTGCCAGGAAAGGCTGAAGCTCTCTGACTCAGGGACGGAGGGTACCCCATGTCCTGACGGAGAAGGTGGGCTTATGGAGTAAAGCAGTGGGGGGGGGGGGTCCACACCAAGTATGTGAGCCCGAGTTCCAGGGAAAAATACCAGCAATATTTAAACTTGAGCTAAGCCAAATTTCTCTCTCTCTTTCCAAACATTTAAGATCACCTTCTTGGCCACCCCCACCCCAAACAATCCCTTCCCTCCCTAGAATTCACCTATGACCTCCTTGACATGAACCATTTCATATTTTCTTACTCTTTTTTAAACTATGAAATGGCATTCGTGATGATCTGCCTTCTGTTGCTATATCAGAACACCACATACTGAGTGAATTATAAACAACAGAAGTCCATCGTACTCCTGGTTCTGGAGGCTGGAAGTGGAAGAGCGTGGTGTCAGCCCCTGAAGGGGGGTTTGGTGCCGCACTGCACCATGGTGGAAGGGAAGTGGTCGGGATCGGTGGTGGAACCCTGTGGAGTCAGCACAGGCCCTCCCTACCTCTCCTCCTTCCTAGAGGACCAGGCAGGCTCAGACCGTGCTTCCTGTGTGGATGACCCAATGTCCCTGCCACTGCTTCCGTCCGTCACAGAAAGGTGAATGAGTACTCAGCGCACACATCCTCGGGGTACAGTTTCTCTACCAAACCTACCACACAGTCAAGCAAGAAGTGTGGGCAACTGTGCAGATGAGCTCTTCCGAGGCACCGTTGTCAGGGGCTGGTGTTGTCCTTGGATGGACTCTTTCTTTGGAAAGACCAGACGCTCTTGTCTTTATCTCTAGCCAGCAGTTTCCTCCCCGGTTGCTAGTAGGGGAGATATCACTCGCCGCCGCCAAGGTCTTGACTGGATCGCTGCAAAAGCCCTTCAGTATTCCACACCACACCACGCTAGGCCATGCCATCCCACGTGCATGATGGAGAGAGCCAAGCCTCTCAGTCATCAGGCCGGTGGATGTGACTCATCCTCTGACCCCAGTGAGGAGAGAGCTCTGTTTGGTGCACCTGTCAGCAGCTAGCATCCTGGAGGCCAGGAAAACATCGACTCTTCCAGGAAGGGCTTTGTCTGCACTTGGAACAGAGGCCACTGAGTCATGGAAGAAACCCAGGTGGATCCAGGAGTCCTGTGTTTACAGTAGGAAGGTTCCCTGTCCCCACCCTGCCCCGTCACCAACACAAGCAGACAACTAGCCCTCACTTTTGTTTGCTTTTAAGTGTTTATGGCCTGTTATCCATGGGTAGCCAATGGTAGGATCACAAGGAACAGCAAAGGAGATATAAAGAACGAAGCCAGCAAGCACTTCTGCAGGAGCTTGTCCATCAGGGTCTCTGCTCTCCACCCACCATGCCTCACTCCCTCCTGGTCTCAGTTACAGATCATGTTTATTTCTTCCCTTTTTTTTGAAACAGGGTCTCATATAGCCCAGGCTGGCTCCAAACTCACTACCTAGTTGGGTTGACTTTTAACCAACCTTCTGAGTTCCTGCCTCTACTGGGATTATGGGTGTGTACCACAGGAGTGGTTTTCTGTAGTGCTGAGGCTGGACTCTAGGCTTTGAGCATGCTAGGCAAAGACTCTGCCTACCCAAGCTACATCTTCAACCCCATTTCATTATTTATTTAGCTGCTCATCTACTCCCTCTTTTGGCCCATAAAAAAGAACTGGCTTGTTAAAAGGCACAGAATCAAAGGTGGAGTGCCTGTCTAAGGTAAGCAGTAAGAACAGCTGGCCGGACTCGGAGGCAAGCTCATGGAGATTTCTGTCATGGGATGTCCAGTTGATACCCATGGGCTACAAGTTTCCATCCAAGGGGAATGAGAAAAACAGTCAAGGGGAAGGTCCAGGTCAGGAAAGAGCCCCCTTTTTAATGCACAGACTGGGGGAGTGGGGAGCGCCCAGCCAGACCTCAGGGGCTGACCGTCACCTGCTGCTGAGTTTTCCCGGTGTGACCCTAACCCTGTTTGAGTCTATCAGGGTGTGCATTTTAGGAAGGATTAAGAATTTAAGACTGAACTGGAAATGGGCCTTGACCACAGGGTTGGTCAGTTGTAGAAGTGGAAGAAAATGTAACTCAAGCCCACGTCTGAGTGCTGAAAGCTCATTCGATGAGGCAGTAGGGGACACAATAGGTGTCCGCGCTGGCTAGCTTCATGCCAACTTGACACAAGCTGGAGTTATCTGAAGGGAGAAAACCGCAACTGAGAAAACGCCTCTGAAGATAGAGCTGTAGGCAAGCCTGTGGGGCATTTTCTTAATTTAGTGATTGATGGGGGAGAGCCCAGCCCAATTGTGGGTACAGCCTTCTCTGGGATGGTGGTCCTGGTTCCGTAAGAAAGCAGGCTGAGCAAGCCATGGGGGGCAAGCCAGTAAGCAGCAATTCTCCATGGCCTCGGCATCAGCTCCTGCCTCCAGTGACTTGACCGATCGTTACCTGGAAGTGTAAGCTGAAACGACCCTTTCCTCCCCAAGTTGCTTTGGTCAAGGTGCTTCATCACAGCCCCAGGAACCCTAACTATGAGAGTGTCTCCTCCCCTCCTTTCTTAGTCAGGCACAAGTCCAGCTGAAGTCCAGGGACGGCCGTTCCTTTCACCCCGACAGCTTGCCTGTGCTTGGTGCTCTGAAGATCTAATTTCCTCCTGTGTTTGCAGGATGAATGCTGCTGAGTGCAGCCCGGGGTTTTGCAATGTGGAATATTACAAGGGCTTTTTGCGGCAAGCCAGCCCGGACCTTGATGACTGTTATCGCTCTGGACAACAAATGGGAGGAAGCTGCTGGCAAGAGATAAAGATGAGTTTCTGGTCTTTCTAAAGAACAAGTCCCTTCAGGGACAATGCCAGACATTGGATATGATGTTCTGAATGTATCGGTTTGTCTGTTTCTGCTGTGCTCTTTGCTCAGCTGTCTGGGAAGTTCTGTAGAGACGGAACAGCTGGATTTGTGCTGACAGATTCCAGACTTCACGTGCAGCTTCTGTCAGGAATACAATTGACAGGTGTTTCCCCAAGCCACAGAAAGCCATCCTGGTGCATCCCAAACCCTGTCTCGTATGATTTACTATACCCAAGAAGCTGCTAATGCCCCTACTCACACAAAAGGCTTAGGCCTTGAAGGCTTGGTCCCCGGATGGTGGCTCACTTCGAGGTGATTGGATCATGAGTGTGCTAACTTTTCAGGTGTTTCTGTCACAGCAACAGAAAGCTGACCCACACAGTTCTCTGACTCCAAGACAGCAGAGCAAAGATGACCTCGATTTGGAGCACTGAGAGGACAGTGTCACTGACTTGTGGCTCTTTCTCCCTAATCAGCTCTTTGTGTGAGAAGCTTCAGAAACTGGGTATTTTCTCTATTCAACTGCTAGTAATAAAAATACCACATCCTTGTTAAGTTTATTATGGAGAAATTAAAATACATACAGAGTTGAATGATGTAATGAACTTCCGTGTACTTGGTACACAATAGTTGACTCGCAGCCAATCTTGTTTCAACACTACTTCCATCCATTTCCTCTCTCCCACGTCATCCTAAAACACATTGCAGATATCATATTGCTCTGTCCATTAATGTTAGGTTAGCCTTTGTCTCTAAAATATGAACCCTTTCCTTTAACATTATGATACCAGCATTCCAATAAAATTATTCATAAGTATCCCTACATATCTTCACACATCAAAATGTATCAAGTTCATAATTGTCTCGGAAATATTTTAAGCTTTTTGTTTGAACCAAGATCCAAATAAGGCTCACACCTTCTCTCAGATGAGAACATTATTGGAAATAACGTTGTTTCATATAAGAAGGCATCATTTGTGACCTCTCCAGAGGGCACCTGTACTATCTGATGATGGAATGCCTCTTCCTAAGAGGCACGGGTTCAGAAAACAGTGATAGCTGATGGGAATGAGTTTGGCCCTAAGTTAGGTACCATCATCAGTTACAAAACACACTTGAAGTCAGGATGGACACATGCTTTAACTCGGGAGACACGGTGCAGTGATTTCAACATAAAATACATGTGAGCACTTGGTGCCCAGTGGTGGGTGGCAAAGTTTTGGAAGGTTGAGTTTTGCCACAGTAGTGGAGCCCCTCAGGAGGAAGTGGGTCACTAGAGGCAGGCCTTGAGGTGTTAGAGTCCAGCCTCCCTTCTTGTCTGTTCTCTGCTACATGACCATGGATGCAGTGTGGCCAACTGACTCCCTTTCCCACAGCAAGGGGCGTGTATTTCCTTTGCCAGGCATTTGGTCATTGCAAGGAAAGCAACTACAGTGCATAGCCTTCCTCACCCCAGCTCCGCAAGGTGCATCTCTAATATCTGGCCACTCTGAAGTACACCACATGGCTCCTCTCTTATAATGAAGACATGCAGCATGTATTAGAAGGACTCACAGGCCGGGCGGTGGTGGCGCACGCCTTTAATCCCAGCACTCGGGAGGCAGAGGCAGGCGGATCTCTGCGAGTTCGAGGCCAGCCTGAACTACAGAGTGAGTTCCAGAAAAGGCGCAAAGCTACACAGAGAATCCCTGTCTCGAAAAACCAAAAAAAAAAAAAAAAAAAAAAAAAAAAAGAAGGACTCACGTCAGAGTAGCTTGGACATCAGTGTGGTCTGAAGAAGAAAATACGATTTTTAAAAAATCTATTATTTTTATATGTATGACGGTTTGCCTGCATGTACGTATGTGAACGCCCGGTGTGCTCAGAGGTCAGGAGAGGGTATTGGATGTCCTGGAACTGGGGTCAGAGACAGTTGTGAGTCACCTCATGAGTGCTAGGAACCAAACCTGGGTCCCCTACAAAAGCAACAAGTGCTCTGAAGTGCTAAGCCTCCAAAATCTGTTTCTTTGATCTGGCTAATTACTTTTCCTTTTACGAGCTGAATTTATCCTTTGGGCCCCGGAGGCCAGTGCCTCAATTCACCATGTAGCAGACACAAATCGCCAGCAGGCATGCCATGATGGGTGAAGTCATTCAGAATGTCCAAACTCCTGACAGCACAGTGGGAAACAGACAGACAGACGCTTCTGATCCAGGGAAGGGCCAGCATGCTCACTAGTCTCCAGGACAATCGAGAACTGGGTCTTCATTGCACATTCTTTGCAAATGTTGGACGAGGGTTCACAACTTGCAAGTAAAATTCAGGGACTTGCTTGAGTCAATTTAAAAGCATAATTTTACTGTGTTTTCTTATCAAACAATTTTTACTTGAGTCAACATCTGAAGTATGAGATTGAAAAAAAAAAAAAAAAAAAAACAGAAAGGGAAAAACCTGAAGGGGAAAAAAAAAAAGCCAGAAAGACCCTCATGGTAAGCCAGACATTCTTTCCAAGGCACAGAGCTGACACTCTTCAGATTGACAGCAGAACATGTCTGTTTCCATGAAACAAAATCACAAGTGCAGAGCCTGATTTGGAGGCCACTTCCTCTTCAGTTCCACTCCTCAGGCTCAGGGAACGATGCTGGTGGCCTTCCTCAGGGCCAGGTAGCCTGTGACCACGTCAGACGGCAGCCTGCGAATGTAGGAGAACTCTTCGGTGGTGCTGAACCGCAGCTTGCTCTGAGGGTCTGTGTAGTTGGCCTGGGTGGGAAGCAGACAGAGGGAAGGACAGAAAGTTGTTGGTGGGGATATTTTAAGCACAAACTTGAATCTTTGTCTACTTTACTCAACGTAAAACACATCTTCGTTATGTTTCACTGTCACCAAGAACACTCAATTGCTCACTTTGGCAAGGAGGAACACTCCAGGGGACAGTCTGGAGGAAGAGGAACAGCCTCATCAGATCCAAAACTCGTTTCCTAATGGTCACTTACCCCTGCCCTCCAACTCCCACCTCTGCAGAGACTCAGAACTGGTCACAGCGCTGAGAGTAAGTGACAGCTGAGTGCTCAGTCCTAAGTGGACATCTCTCACCCCTCCTGAGGCTCAAGGACAGGGGCAGAGAGAAACCTAAGGCCGGGAAGGAATGCTGCCCGATGCTGTCTCCTGTGGATGACGATTCCTTTGACAGCAATAGAGGAAAAGGCTTGATGTGGAAAACACTAACAAAGCCGTTTTGCAGAGCTTGTGGCTGTGCAGCAGTTAGGAGAGCGGAGCGCTTTGGCGGGGCAAGCCAGCCTCACATTCTCAGAAGGATGCAACAGGAATTTGGCTTGGATTATCTGGCTCCACAGATAAACCTATGGTTCAGCCTCACTGTGGCTCCCTATGTGGCAGCCTCACTCCTACCACCACCCTGGCTGAGCTGGCCACTCGAGTTCACACCTCACACCAAGAAGGCTGCTATATAAACAATTTAGAATACTGAGGTCTTGTGGCACAGGCAAAACAGTCACAAACAATAGCTGGAACAGAATGGACCCAGGAGCCAACATGCTGTGCTCTGAATAGAAAGGAGTAAGCCAAACTAAATCCCTGAACCAGATGAGTAAAGAATATCCCACCCTCCTCTGGACTGTCCCTTGAGACTGGAAGAAAAGACAGGTTGCTTGCCCATGGGGACTCAGCACACTGCTTAGGCCTTGACCCAACTTCAGGATGACAGGCAGCGTTCACAACCCCCCAGGAGCCTCTAGAACAACACTCATCATAGCTTTGTAAAATACAGGTGTCTCACACACACACACACACACACACACACACACACACACACACACACACACACACACACACACACATCCATGCCTTCCTCCTGTGCCCAAGCAAAATGAACTAGACTGTCATCTAAAACAATAAAATTAAAGCATTTCACAGAGTGAAAGGATCCTTTACCAGCGTCTTCTACCTCCAAGTCTTTTGCTTCCCCCAAGGAAGCCACTCTAAGTTGGGAACCCTTCCAGACTTTCAAAATTTATCCCTTACTAAACAAACCAAACCAAGAAAGTGTGTGTGTGTGTGTGTGTGTGTGTGTGTGTGTGTGTGTGTGTGTGTGTGTTTACCATACAATCCACATCTCTTGGCATCTTCTAGTCAAGAATGTACCCTGAAACTTCATCCATGTTGTTCCACATGGATCCGGCTCACAGAATAACAGGAACACATCTCAGTGAAAGACTTTCATGGGACCTCCAACCACTCTGCAAATAGTCTCCCAGAAACATTTCTTTTTTACATCTTTTTTTTTTTAAAGGTTTATTTATTTATTTATTATGTATACAGTGTCCTGTTTACATGTATGCCTGCAGGCCAGAAGAGGGAGCCAGATCTCATTACAGATGGTTGTGAGCCACTGTGTGGTTGTGGGAATTGAACTCAGGGCCTCTGGAAGAACAGCCAGTGCTCTTAACCTCTGAGCCATCTCGCCAGCCCGAAACATTTCTGCCTAAGTTCCTTGCACATCCTATTTCTTCAGGGAGCTGCATAGAATGCAAATTGCCAAGTCATAGATTTTGTTTGTTTGTTTGTTTGTTTGTTTTTTAAGAAGAAAAATTGCCAAACTGTCATTCAAGGGAGCTGCATCAATACTCCCAAAGAGCCGTGTATGAACGCACAATTTCTTTACATCCAGGCTGAATATACAACCAAGCTTTCTCAGTCCTTCCATCTGATGGTCTTTTTCCAGCCACTAGTGAGGCTGCACACCTGCCTGATCACTGATTTCCTCTGTCATTGCCTGGCTCTTCCTCACTTCTTTTAAAAGACTGTCTGTCAGTGGTTTAGGAGTAGGGTTTTTCATATGTCCTTAATTCTTATACTTAGAGCTGAGGTAATTTGTGTGTGTGTGTGTGTGTGTGTGTGTGTGTGTGTGTGTGTGTGTGGCAAGACCTCTGCTGATGCCCCAGAGACCTGGACTAATGTCCTTCAAAATGATGCTATGCCTCTTCACAGGTGAGAAGCACTGTAGCAGCCCACAGCTGCTAGCCGTGGTTGAGGGGAAAGTGGACATGCCAAGGGCCCGGCTTCTGAGTCTGTTCATAAACCATGACTCTAGCTGCTCAAAATGACACTGGGCCAGATTCCCACTTCAGGACCCAACAGTGACTGGGGTCACACCAGCTTTCCTACCCCAGACAACCACTGAAATGAGCGAAGTACATATTCAACAGGCAAGACCAATGACTGAGAAAACAGCAGTCACGGGAAGGCAGGAAGTAACTCCAGTAAAAAGCTGTGGGATCAGATTGCTAGACGGACATACTCAACCCGGTGACAAAAAGCTGGAAATAGAATAAACAAAAAAGTTCTTTAAAAAATTTGTTTCTCTAAGAGATAACCAAAGCAAGAACAAATAGCAGCCTATTTTGTGTTATCTTACACACAGTAAACATGGCAACCAAGAACAAGAATGCGCTGGAAAGGGATTAGTACAAGAGCCTCTCACTCCAGACAAAGCTTTAGTGCTGAAAATAAACTCATAGTGTGGTAAGAGGAGCATTAGGTCTAGGGGGGCAACCACTCAGCCTTTTTAAAGGGGGCATAAATAAAAATTAAATGCCCAGTTAGCCTGGTACCCTCGTGAGGAAAGCACGTGACAGTTCTGTAGCGGAGCATTCTACAGAATCTGACCAGCAGCCAGCTGTGGCAACATCCGCCTTTAACCCAGCACGTATGCAGCTGAGTTATGCCAGGATCATGTGAGCTCAGGAGTTCAGGACTAGCTAGAGAAGTACAGCCAGAGGACTACCTGTCTCAAAACAACACAAAATCCTGTGACAAAGTTGCCAAAAACAAGGAAATTTTGAGAAACTGCCAAAGAGTTAAGAGTGGTCTAAAGAGTTATGACAACTAAATATGATATGGTAGCCTAGACAAGACAAGACACTAGGCTTGGGCAAAATCTAAGGGAATTTAGCTTTTTGTCTTCACCTCCCTCCTCTTCCCAGTCTGCCCTTCTCTCTCCCTCTCCTTCTCAGCTGGTGGTACTGAGGATCCAACCACCCTATGCATGTGAGGCAAAGCTTATCACTGGGCTACACTTGGCCCCAAACTAGGAGAATTGAAATAAACTGTGGTAACAATGTCATCTCTAATGGGTCACTAATCATAACAAATGCACCACAGACGTTAATAAGAGAATGAGGGAAATCTGGAACCTGTGAGAAACCCCCCGCAAGAGCCTCTCAGTTTTACTGTAACCTAAAACTGTTCCAAAGCGTTTAAAAGTGCCGAATTAGACCGAAAGACGACCGAAACAAGGAATAAAGGCACACAGACGTAACAAAGAAAACAGATTAAATTCACCCACGTTTCGGAATAGTTATTTAACTATGTAAAGATGTGTTTCATTTGTTCAATTATGTAAAGATGTGTTCCTGTTTTACCTTGCCTGCCTAAGGTACCTGTTTGGTCTACTACAAAGCTGAACAGCCAATAGTGAGGGAGGAGGTATAGGGGGAATTCTGAAAAAGGAGAGTAAGGAGGAGGAGGGATTTAGGCTTGGAAAGAAAGGAAGAAAGAAAAGGAGACAATGGGGGCCAGACAGACAGACATGGAGGAGGCAGGACATACAGAATGAAAGAAAGGTAAAAAGCCCCGAGGTAAAACGCAGATGAAGAGAAACAGGTTAAATTAGGTTAAAAGAGCTAGTAGGGCAAACCTAAGCTAAGGTCAAGCATTCATAATTAATAATAAGTCTCTGTGTCTTTATTTGGAAGCTGGTTGGCAGCCCAAAGAAAATTCCAACTACACACCCACAGTTGTGGTCACTGAAATGTGAACCACATAAAGCTATCATCTGGAGCCACACTGTCAGCTGGGTACAAAGCAAGACCCTCTCTAGAAGAAACTCATTGTAGACACAAAGATACAGACAAAGGCAACACACTCATGAGAGAGATGCCATGCAAACCTGCACACAAAGAAAGCTGGAATGGTGTTCTAGTTCATTCTGGGCTGCTACCCAAAAACACCTGGATGCTTTATAAAGAAATGAGGCTTACGGTACTGGAGAGACGGCTCAAAGGTTAGGAGCACCTGCCAGATATCCAGCCCCAGGGTTTCTCAGAGGGCACCAAGCACAGATGGTGCACATACATACATGCAGGCAAAACACCTTTACGTGTGTGTGTGTGTGTGTGTGTGTGTGTGTGTGTGTGTGTGTGTGTGTGTGTTTTAAAGAAGAAAAGAGACTTAATTAGCTCTCAGTGTTGGCATCCTGGTGAGGGCCCTACCTGGCTGCATTTCAACATGGTGTGACGAGAACCAGCCACACACAGGAAAGGCACGTGTGCAAGCCAAGAGAGAGGAAAAAGGGGCTCTTTTTGTGACAGCCCTCTCCTGCAGAAGCCAGTCCATTCCTGTGGGATCTGACCCAGATGTGATCCATTTTTAAGAAGCATCATTAGTTCATCAAGCCCACCTCTTGCTGGTTCAACACCACCATACTGGGGCCCAAGTTCACAGCAAAAGGGCGTTCTGGAGAAGAAACACCCTAACCCAAGCATGCAGCTATATGAATTCAGACCGAACAATAAAAAGGACGAGGAGCTGAGAGAGGAGACTACACAATGGCCGAAGCAGCAGTTTTCCTGGTATAATGTATAGAATTAATCCGGCCAGTTCGTGACAGATGGTGGAGTCAGTTATCCTCATTAAACTGCAAAGCATTGAAATGGCATCCAGTAAATTCTAGAAGTAGTATGCTTCATCATTTCTATAATTTGCAGGAAAACCTCACTTTTCAAATTTACAAGAGATGAAGAAGGATGAGGGTGAGCTGGAATTTCTCTGCAGGTTTGGCAGGCACTCTCTGTTTGGCCAGAGTGGAAGCAGGCTCTCAGTGCCCGGGTATCAGCATTTGCCTCAATCCCAGCCCTCCAGCTCTGTTGGAGAAGCATTGGAGGGGTCATGGCGGTAGGCTAGAGAGGACCACAGAGGACCTGATCCACAGAGACCACACGGAGAGAGGGGTTCCGGCTCTTTTAGATATGTGGGTTACATACACTACTTCACAAGCCGGGCGGTGGTGGCGCACGCCTTTAATCCCAGCACTCGGGAGGCAGAGCCAGGTGGATCTCTGTGAGTTCGAGGCCAGCCTGGTCTCCAAAGCGAGTTCCAGGAAAGGCGCAAAGCTACACAGAGAAACCCTGTCTCGAAAAACCAAAAAAAAAAAACACATACACTGCTTCACTTGAGAAAAGGCTTAGAAATTTGTGTTTGTCTGCTCTGACTTAAAGATTCACTCGATGGTGTTGGGTATGCTAGGCAGGTGCTCTACACTGAGCTACATCAGCAGTCCAGAATATTTTTTTAAAAGTACCACCAACTGTGTGAAATTAGTATTTTAAAACCTTAAGAGTATATATAGAAATGGCTGTTTTATTCATGTTGTCTCATACAGTTAACTATCAGGGAAAAAAAAGAAGTGGAAATTCTGTCTTGTTTTCTGACGCAATGGCCTCTCCAGACTACCCACACAGACACTCAGGTCACAGCCTGAACTCCAGGCAAGACCAACAGTTTAGACACACATGACTGTGAAATCTTATATTTCATACGAACATGGACAGATGTAATTATACTCACAAGGAGGCCTGAAACATCGGAGTACTTCTTAGCCGGCTTAAAGGATGGGGGAGCATCAATACTAAAGTCTAAAAGGAAGAAAAGAAAAGAGATAACCAAATAACCTTCAAAATATCCTAATTCCTTCTCCTTTATTCTAAGCTAACATCTGATAAAGGTCCTGAAGTTTTCCTTTGTGATTACAGAAGCCTCCAGGGATTAACCAGGGAAGTAAGGGAGGTGTCTCAAAAACAGCACAGTATGTCACCAACTAAGTGCAGGCCTCAGCTAGGGTCCTGCCCTGCCGCCAGAGACAAGCTACCCCAGTGGAGCTGCCAGGTTCGTCTACCCGCAGGCTATTTCACAGTCTCCAGCTGAAACGGGCTCCTGGTGATGAGAGGCCACACAGCCACTAACTGGATCCACACACCCAGGCTCAAGTGGTCCACACCCAGATGACTAACTTGTCACCATCTGAGTCACCCCATGAAAGACGCACAGCAGGACAGGAGGTGGAGAGATCCTGGAACCTCAAGTTTCCAGGGTAGCTGAGCAGAACATCTAACGGGTCTTGCCCAGGTCTGGACATATTACAGCAGGAGGTACTTACTCAGAGAGTAAGTGTGTGGCCTCTGAGCTGCTTGCTGGAGATTCTCCCGAATCTCACATTACAGGTGGGCTACGTCGTTTGTGAACACAAATTTAAAGAGTAGATCTTTCAATGAGAGGTCTAATAGGAACATCATCGTTATCACAGTGGGACCTACTTCTCCAGACTGAAATTGTAGTAAACGACTTAGTGACATTCGAATGGCTTTAGTAAACTACACACCCGTGACAACACAAACAGACAGACTCAGTGAAAAGGGAACTGCATGCAGAATACCCTGGATGGGTGCCACTGTACAGTTCTCGGGCTGAGAACATTTTCCCCCGCAATAACACAAACACGAGCAAATAACGTAGGCTTGTTGTAAGGAAGTTCCCGTCTGCATTACAAACACAGGGAGGGCTCTAGACAGCTCACAGTTAGGATCGTTCAGTTGCCACGGCAACGCCCTTTCAGCAGCGAGGATCTGTTTGAGGTTCTTCCAGGTTCTGTTCTTCTTGCCAGCCACTGCGCCGCCATGGCCAGAGTGCTGGAATTAAAAGTGGGTTCGAGGAGAAGAGTCAGTGGAAGGTGCGCTGGGGAAACCTGACGCCACGCCCGTGAGAGTGGCCGGCACCTCTCGTCTGTGAGCAACTGTCTGTGCTGCTGAGACCTTCGAAAAGACCTCACTGTGCACTTCAATCTTTGTTAAAAGAACATGGTTTTTAGCTATTCATAGCGGAGGCAGAATTGGGAATTCAAGGCCAGCTTCAGTTACAGGATGAGTTTGAGGCCAGCCTGGGCTATAAGAGACCCTAAAAAGCAAATAAACAAAACTATAAATAAGCAAACAGAGAACATAGTTCGGGGGCTGTCTAAACCCACGAGTTTGCTGGTGATAGAACAGAAGTAAATGGCTATTTTTCAGCATGCACACAGGAAAGCAAACTCTTCGCTGGGTTCAACCTAGCTGAATTCACTTATGATCTCATCCCTTTAAAATAAGTTTACCACCAAGTTCGATTTCATCTCGAGATTACATCCCTAAACCCCTCTCGGAGGGTGTGTCACTCTGCCTCCTAATCACTAGTGGGCCTGGAAAACCCAACCAGGCTTCAATCATGGTATGGCAAGCCTTCTGGAAATTTCTTTTTGTGCTATAAAGATTAAAAAGCGAAATGGAAAAGACTACTAACACATCTGCAGACCCTGGTTACAATGGATTGCCAAGACTCATTAATTAAAAAAAATAAACCTTTAAGGGTATAATTTGGGTCACTAAAGCTGATTATTTAATATAGCCCTCGTGAATGAAAGGTATTTAGAGGAATTAGTGAGGGGTGCTCCTATTTTAGTTAACTATTTCAAACTTCTTTTAAAATTTAAGGCCAATAAAAAGCATAGGGAAACAATCATGGAAAAGATGTATCCTCAAAGTTCTATCCTCTGGGAATTCTGAAAGGGCCTGGCACACTGGGAGATCTCGAAGGGCTTTTCCAGTCCGGTCCCATATTCCCCCACCTCTCCACTCCCCACCCACCCCACTCCCCCATCCCCCCATCCCCACTCCCCTACCCCTGTGGGGGATGGCAAATGAACTGAGGGAGAAGCGGATTTCAGATCCACCTCAGGCCCAGCTAAGTCGCAGTCCACCTCTCTATTTGTATAACACCTAACATGCTTACCACGAAGTTGGGATCCTTAAATGGCAGCGGTTTGGCAGCTTTTTCCACAGGCCCCGAACTAAAATCAGAGGACGCCATTTTATTCTCACTCATGGCTTCAATGCTGACACCCTTAAAACACAGGAAGAAAAAAAAAAAAAATCTTTGAAGCCAGATGGGCTCCTCATGTCTGCTCTCAACAAGACAGACACGCAGGGTCCAGGGCTCCAGCAGGTAGCCTGCCCCGGAGGCTGGGAACACTATCTGTATAAGCAAGAACCACTGCAGACACAGCGGGACCCCAGGTGCCAGGCTCCCTGGTTCCCCTAGTGCCAAGCTCAGGGACAGCTGTCTCATTAATTCTGACAGCTGCTACGGAGGTGCGAGTCCCCCATCTTACAGAAAACTGAGGCACAGGAGGACTGGTTTAAGGCTACACAGCACACAACTTTTCAATTTAAATTTATTCCATGATGCCACACAGTCCTTGTATCTTGATGATCTTGTCAACTGTGTCTTGAAATAGGAAGGCTAGCCTTAGAGTCTGGACCTCAAGGTCTAACGTGGTCAGAAAACCCAGGCTGGAGCTAGTTTGCATTTGGGGACAAGGGGACATGCGAAGTCTGAAAAAGGAGAGGAAGCTGGAAGGACATGGGCCCACTGGCTGTAGCTGGAGCGCAGTGTCCCGTCAAACAGCTTTAAAACAAACCTTTACACTAACAACCACAAGAGAAAAGAGGCAGAAGGAAGAATGATGTCTGACTTGCAACCCAATTCCAAAACAAACATTTTAGGAACAGAGGCATTGTCTCTGCGGAGTGAAATGTCAGGGAGAGGTTCGCTGAGCTTCCACTATTGACACTGGTACCACCAAATCCTTTCCAAGACACCGAATACACCCACCATTCCAGAACACTCTTTTGTCCCTTCTTGAACAATCCCTTCCAGTCCCAAGGGCAACCAAGGTTCTGATTCTTCTACATCACTTCCACTTCTTCCAGAACTTCTTCCAAGAGAAATCTGACCGTATGTGGCTCGTACCTAGCCTCTTTAGGTCAGAACGGAGTTTTGATGCCTTCATATGGCTCAGTGGTTAGCTTCACCAATTCCCCTCTTAGCAGAGTAGAATTCACTACATGGATGTGTTAAAACCTATTTATCCATTTTTCTGTTGAACATTTGGTCTGTTTTCAGTGTTCAATTATAAACAGGGCTGTCATACATGTGCACCTACCTTCCCTACCATGAGTTACTTTTTGTCATGGTGCTTATCACAGAAACAGAAATCAAACTAGTCCAGGCATGGTGATATACGCTTTCAATCTCAGCACTTGGGAGGCAGAAGCAGGCAAATCTCTGTGAGTCTGAGACCAGCCTGGTCTACATAACAGGTGTGTTATGTAAGCTACATAGTGAGATCCTGTCTCAAACAAAACCTCCCCCAAAAGAAAGACATCAAACTAGAACAGCTGCCATGTTCTCATTTCTGTTGGGTGCTTAGCTAGGAGTGAAGACTGTGTTCCTGAGAAAGTGCACATGTAACTCTATAAGGTGTGCATGCGTGCGTGCATGAGTGTGTGTGTGTGTGTGTGTGTGTGTGTGTGTGTGTGTGTGTGTGTGTGTGTGTATGTGTGCCCTCTCTGTGATATGTCTGACAGGAATAGAATGGGAAAAAAGGGCCATTCACTGTCACAACAGATCTCAGAAAGGTGTCTCCTCAAACACCTTCCCAAACTCCTCTCCAGGGTCTCCGCACGGGCCTGGACTCTTCTGCTCTGCTCACACTACTCCTTAGTGTGGACTGTTCCCCCGTCATCCTCCATCACTCCAATCTTCCCAGCATTAGGCAAAACTTTAAGCCTTAAAAAACTCACACTGAAGCTGAGAGGTGGTGGCACACGCCTTTAATCCCAGCACTCGAGAGGCCGAGGCAGGCGGATCTCTGAGTTTGAAGCAAGCCTGGTCTACAGAGCAAATTCCAGGATGGCCAGGGCTACACAGAGACCCTGTCTCGAAAAACCAAAAAAAGAAAGTGACCCTGAAATCGATCTTACATTTCTCTGTTTATTTGTGAGTACATGAAAGTGCATGTGCACCCTACATCAGCACTTCTCACCGAGCCGTGCCCCTGAAATCCATGTTTGAAGAGGCTGTGATCCAGGGCAGAAGGAGAAAGGACAAGCTGCTAATTAGAGGCAAGTGGAGGATCTCAGGAGGCCTGCCAGGGAGGAGGAAGGAGGTCATCTGGGATGAACAAGCTGAAAAGCTAAGGAAGCAAAGGGGCTAAAGAGAAAAGAAAAACAAAAACAAACAAACAAAAAAACCAACAGGGCCTTAACACCTCCGACGATGACAGTGACGAGAGTGCCGTGGACAGAGTGTGGCCATGTCCACGGCCCCATCCTCCTGGGGCAATGCTATTCCCTGAGATGGGGGTGGGTGGAGTGTCTCCAGAGCCCCTGTGAAAGGCACTCACTGCAGCAAGTCAGTGTGGATGAGACAGGTGGATGTAAAGTTCTCCCAGGGAGAGGTCACCCCATAAAACAAAGTGCTTCTGCTGACTGTCATGGGGGTGTGGGTGGCCACAGCTTGCTGTTCCGGGCAGCAGCCTAGGGAAGCGTCCAGGAGGGAATGACAGTCTGGGAATTAGCTCTGTGGTAGAGCACTTGCTTTGTATTACCGAAGGGCTACTGCTTCTCCAACAGTGGAGGGTTCTATGCCATCTCTAGCCGGATCAACCCCAGGAGTCATACTGGTTTCTGTTTGCCTTTCCTCTTAAACCCCACTCCCATGTTACTCCACCCTTATTTCTCCGTTCCTCTCATTCAGTCTCCAAGTCAGTACTGAGTCAGGATGACAGGAAGGCCTTTAGTCAGAGGGAAAATCAAGTCTACGATGCTCTGCGGCAATGAAGTAAGATACACGATGATGATCTACGCTTTCCATGTTGTGAAAGTACCACTAACACTAAGAGACGGGATATCCAGCCCCAGGACATGAAAGGCCCAAGACAGATGGGGAAGTAACACCTAGAACTAAGGGCTATGCCCTCTTCCCATTACTAAAAAAGATGATGTGAGTCCCAGGGTAGAGATACTACTCTTTCTGTAACACACTGGAGTCAGCAAGGCTCAGGGGCTCCACCCACCTCTACTGAACTGCAGAATCCAAACAAATGGCTTCTGCCAACAGCAGCCCTCATAGCTGGGACTCAGACTTCAGGACAACCTTGTCTTCTCCTGTGGTGTTTTTGTTTTGTTTTGTTTTTCGAGACAGGGTTTCTCCATGTAGCTTTGGAGCCTGTCCTAGAACTCACTCTGTAGACCAGGCTGGCCTTGAACTCACAGGGATCTGCCTGCCTCTGCCTTCCAAGTGCTGGGACTAAAGGCGTGTGTCACCACGGCCAGTATGGTGTTTTTAAAAGAAAGGGGATGGTGTTTTTTGTCATCATTTAAGAACCAAACATAGCAGCCTGGGGGTGGTGGTTCACAACTTTAATCCCAAGCACTCAGGAAGCAGAGGCATTTGGACTCTGTGAGTTCAAGGGCAGCCTGGTCTATAGAGTTCCAGTACAGCCAGGGCTACACAGAGAAACTCTGTCTCTAAAAACAAAACAACAAAAAAACAACCAAACAAAAAGAATCAAACACAGAAACATCTACTAGTAATCTGGACTAAGAAGCCCAGCTTGGGGTACATAGTGAATTTACAGTCAGCCTAGGCTATACAGCAAGACTGTCTCAAAAGGTTGGAAAAAAAGAAAAGAAAAAAAAAAAAGTTTACTCAGCCCAGGTGTGTGGCAGTACATAACTGTAATACCAGGCATGAGGAAGCTGAGGCAGGAAGACTGCCATAAGACCAGTCTGGGCTACACAGTGATTTCCAGGCCAGCAAGGTCTACATAGCTAGACGATCCTGTCTCAAACCAAATCAAACCAAACCAAACCAAACCAAACCAAAAGTGGTCCACAAAGAGCAGGGCATGGTAAAACAGGTCTTTAATTCCAGCACTGGGAGGCAGATGGATCTCTGTGAATTCAAGGCTAGCCTGGTCTATATACCACAAGTTCTAGGTCCAGCAGGGGCTGTTGAGACTGTGAATTAAGAAACAAAAAGAGAGCCGGGCGGTGGTGGCGCACGCCTTTAATCCCAGCACTCGGGAGGCAGAGCCAGGCGGATCTCTGTGAGTTCGAGGCCAGCCTGGTCTACAAAGTGAGTTCCAGGAAAGGCGCAAAACTACACAGAGAAACCCTGTCTCGAAAAAACAAAAAAACAAAAAAAACAAAAAAAAAAAAAAAACAAAAAAAAAAAAAAAAAAAAAAAAGAAACAAAAAGAGAAACACAAAGAAACAAAAACTCATCCTAATGTAGTTAGTGACTACATTGTTTGGTCTCGGTAAAATGAACATTAAATCACATCATGGACGACAAGAGAATACACACGATACAGCTCAAGAAGACTCAAATCAGGAGTATATAACGGAGCTGGGCATGATAGTGCATGCCTGTAACCTCAACATTCAGGAGCCTGAAACAGGAGGGTCAGCAATTTGAGGCCAACTTGCAAACATACTGAGTTCTAAGCCAGCCTGAGAAACATGAGGTCCTGTTTCAAAAAACAAACAACAACCAAAAAAACCAACAAAACAAACATACAGGCCAGGCGTGGAGCACTCAGACAGGCGATCTCTTGAGCTCCAGGCCGGCTTTGCCTCACAGCAAGTTCCATGACAGCCAGGACTACGTAGAGACCCTGTTTCGGGGAGGGCGGGGTGGTACATAAGCAAAGCTAATCAAGGAAGGAGATGTCAGAAGCGTGGTTACTTCTGACAGGGAGGAAAGAGCCCAGTGACAGAATTGCAAGGCTGAGACATGAGGACAAGATCAGCAGGAATTCTCTGGGCCTCTCAGGAATGCTCTTATCTGGAAACTATCCATGGTTTGTGTGTTTCACTGCATGCAAACATAGGAACCCAACAAAATGCTAAAAAGGGGTGGAGGAGTGCTAATTACCAACAGAGTTGCTGGGCAAACGACACACAAGCTGAGGAGCATAACCATCCTTATAAAGTGCTCAGGAGTGGGGAAAGCACGACCACAGCCAAACCACTGCTGGTCTCCCCTAGTTGTGGTGAAGTCTGTTGTGACAACCCGCTGTGCTCAGCACTTTCGTCATGGACCTCAACCTCTTTCTGTCTGTCTTTCTTTCTTTCTGGCTTGTCGAGACAGGGTTTCTGTGTAGTCAGTACCCTGGCTGTCCTGGAACTCACAGAGATCAGCCTGCCTCTGCCTCCAGGGTGCTGGGATTAAAGGCGTGTGCCACCACCGCCCGTCCGGCTTGACCTCAACCTCTTAACCTCCAGATTTAGCACATGTAAGAAAGAAGCCGCAGGTCTCAATCATCTTTGCATTCCCCCACGTTCTCAATCGGGGATCGGCGGGATAGGCTATGGGTAACCCGCAAACTTCCCTTGCAGAGACCCAGAAGACAAGTCCTGACAGAACTGGGCGGCCCTTCTACTAAACCGATTACAACCTCCCACTTTACTCTATGACGCGGGTGATTTTTTTTAACCAAAGTCGTAGGTCCAACCTATGACTCAAGAATACTAATTTCCACCAGGAATTCCACGCGCCTCTGCGGGATCCCAGCCTCACCACCCCACCTCCACCACCCGGCTGGACTGCGCACGCGCCCCAGCCCAGCCCCGCCCCGCCCCGCCCCGCCCCGCGCAAGCGTCCTGGGCGCCTCTCGAGCCTGCGCATGCGCCCTCGTCCCCGGGTGGTGCGGACCGTGTACCTGAGCGAAGCCGGAGGCGGACAGCTTTTTCTTCTTACTGGCGCCGTATCCCCCTCCGCTGCCGTTGTGGGAAGGGCTGACTGGCCTCTTCTTGCTGTTCCTGGCTATGGTGGGGGTAGAAGTGGCAGCCACGATTGGAATTTGAGCCGCCATCCTGCCCGCAGCCGGCCCGCGGCTCCCCGCCCCCACCCCTCCTCAGGCGGCCCTGGGACTTCCGGCTGGAGGTTACTTCCGGGTTGATGCTCCCGGAGCTTTACGGACTCCTCCCTGGCTGCTCCTAGGAGGCGGGGCTCGGAAGTGTTTCTTCCGGGTCGGAAGGGGTCGCGCTGTGGCTGCGGTTGAGATTGTCATCCTGGGTCTGAGCACCTTCCTGGAGGGCCCCAGTGAGCCTCCGATCTTTTAGTAACTATTAATTTTTTTTTTCTTGGTTTTTAGACAGGGTCACCCTGTGTGTAGCTCTGGCTGTCCTCAACTCTCTGTGTAGACCAGGCTGGCCACAAACTGATGTAGCCGAGGTTGTCTTTGAATTCTCCGCCTCCCAAATGCCAGGATTACAGGCAGATGCCACAGTGTCCATCTCGATGGGTGTAAGAATAAAGGAAGTTAAATATCAGTGCACTAACATTAACGAGCTATTTGCTTGGTCTTATTTCTTAGCTGTGCTGAAGTTTATGTATATCTACTGCACAAGAGACTAGAAAGGTAGAGTGTTCTTCAGTCTTTTAGGAGTCCAAGACCACTTGTTGCCAAGCAAGTGATATTCCTGACCTTCTCCACTCTCCTCTCCAAGTGCCTATCAACAGACAAAATCTTTCGTACAGATGTCAGGGAGGTCGCAGATTTAAATTGAGGAATCTCAATGCTCCACACCTTGTTTTTTTGTTGTTGTTGTTGTTTTTGGTTGTTTTTTTTTTTTTTTTTTTTTTTTTTTTTTTTTTTTTTTTTTTGCCTCATACTGCACTGTATTTCTCCAGAGCCTTTATGCCATCATCTAACTTAATGCTAGGTGATACATGTCTTTTGGCTAGGATATAATAACATAATAATAAGGTGACCGCCACCTGTGTCTATCGACTGGGGATAAATATATCTGTCCCCAGTTACAGTGACTTGCAAGTCGTTGATGCATTATAATTATGTTTGGGTGAAGTAAAGAATAAAGGGGTGAATCCCTACAAGTTGGCAGCCTAAGCAGCAATAAAAATCGATGTTTGAAACAGGCTGTAGAGTGATGCAGAGGGGAAGGACCAGTTAAGGGAACAAGGAACTGACAATACTGTTACTGACGCCTCCTCTGGTGTTGAAATGTTTCCTGCGCCAGATCTCCTCCCCTCTCCTCATCTAAATCTGTTTTCCTTATTCCTTGTCTCAAGGACTCATGCCTCCAACCAGCAGTCACTGAAGCAAACCTCTTATTCCAGCCACCTCTTCAGCTTAATTCTTATCTTCACTGTTCCTATCCCAGTGACTCAATCTCCCATGTGATGCCTGTAACCGTCTCCAAATGGAAGTCTGAGTTGTCATCCTTTCCTAATCTACCCTTGGCTCCCAGGCCCTCACTTCCACTGGCTTCTAGAACGGGCTTTTAAATCTAACTGTAGCACTTAACTTTCTTATATACAGGACCCCTTTATCCTCTAGATAAAAACCAGATAACTTTTTAGTTTGGCACGTTAGGTCCTTAATTACTGAGGCTTAGCCCTCTTCTTTTGTTCAATTCCCAACAACAAATTCTTTGTGCCCCTGCCAGGGACAAATTCTATTTCCTAGAATATTCTGGTCTCTGGACTGATACTTTTATTTCCATTGTTTCCTTTCCTGAGAATGCCTAGCTCCTGGCCTGGTGACTATCCATTTTTTTTCTCCCTCAGTTCAAATTGTATTCCTAACAAGCAGCTGATTACCCTATTCCCTTTGCCCCTCACCTGAATTTTGTGGATGTGTCTCCAAGGACATTGAACATAGGGCATCCTATTCACCTGCTTCTTACAATGTTTACTGGGTTCAAATATGAAGGAGTCAGACAAGTGGATGGACCATCATTTGGCTTCCAGTTACCAAATTCAATCTTGATCTCACTGATTGCTTTCTTCCTGAAGTTCTCCCCTTGGTTTCTAAAATGCCACCATCCTCTTATTTTCCTTCTAAAGTCCAGTTGTCTCTTTGTGACAGTTGTCTTGATGTCTAAGGCCCTTGGCCCTTCCAAGCCTATACATTCCCAGCCATTCCAATAACTCCAAGGGCCTGAGATGCCAGCTCCCTTGTGAGCTGTCATCCTTGCTTCCGATTCTGGTGCCTATGGCTGAATCATTGCATTCAATTCCAGATGACAGACTGCATTCAGATCACGCTCCCTATCTGAAACCCTCCGTTGTCTCCTTTCAGTCCCTAGAATGAAGCTCATGGTCCATAAGCAGAGAGACCTGCCATTTCTGCAGACTCGCCTCCTCCTCCTCGGGTCTCTTTACTCCCCTCAGTTTCCATTTTTGTCAATTCCAACAACTAGCTGTGTTCCTCTCTCCAGGCTTAGACACATCGCTCCTCCTGAATGAACATTACCTTTCTTCTACTTCCACCCTCCAAGAGTCCTGGTAACTTCACCCTTTCGTTCTTGGTTGACACTGGCTCCTTTTTAGCTTTCACCATCCTTCTGATCCTGTGTCACCACAGGTCTTGGTCACCCAGTATTGTACCCAGAGTCCCCCGAAGACTACCAAGAGAACAAACCCAATGCAAAAGCAAAGAGTCTTTTTATTGTTGTGAATTAACCCGAGCCTCTCCATCCGTCCATCTGACATGGCAGCTGAGCAGGAGAGACCATGAGTAGCAACCAAGCAGGGTTTTTATAATGGTTAGGGTAGGAGATCTAGGGAAATTCCAACTCCATATATAGTTACGAGCTCAGAATTGGTGCTTACTTCAGGTTAGAGATGCTTGGTTTGAACTGATTGGAGGGTTGCAGCTACAAGGAAATTGCCATGTTCTCTAGCAATCTATGTTGCCAGCAGACCCATTTCCTCTGATAGTTAGACATCCCATTTTTATCTGCAGGAAACTCATTCCCTCTGACAGCTATGGTATACAATCTACAACAGCAGAAAACATCCCACAGGACATATGTGTTGCTTTGTTTATTATTCCAGTTATGTTATATCAGATCCTTTAGGTTCTGGCAGGAAATGTCTGGTGTGCAGCCCCTAATTGTCTGGGTCTAGGGACAGCACATCTTCTGATGAGTTTCCTAGGGCCCAAGAGTGGAGGGGCAGCACATCCTTTGATGGGGTTCCCAGGGCCTGGTGCGCACAGTCTGACCCTTCTCTAAGATGGCTGCAACCCTGTCATCCTCTCACCAGTACCTGTTGATTGCCCTTTATACACTACTTCTGGAGGGTGGAGATTAGAAGGCGCAAGAAGACTACCAGTTCCTGTTCTTGGGGAGCCCCAATCTAGTAGGGAAGGAAAGATTCTGTCTTCCCAGCTGGATGTAGCTGCCTGTGTGCAGTTGTAAGAGTCATAAGTGGTAAGCAGCATCAACAGATGGTGGCAATAAAGAGCATGAGCAGAGAGCTGGAGGACATCTACATAAGGTACAAAGGCTTTAAGTTGGCCAGAAACCTGCTCTACATCCACCATGGAAGCACTGGTCACTGCCCACTGCCAGCACATGAAGAGACCTCTTACACCGCACTGCATGCATAGCTCACGTGTTACCTATGAGTGTTGGAATGGAGCAATGAACTGAATGCCTGCGGCCCATATTCAGCTAACTGGCTTTCCCCTAAATGCCCAGTCATCCCTGGAAACTTGGATGGCCTGTCTTACCTCTGCTGTAAGATGTGCTCTTCTGGGAGTTGTCTCTGCAGCCTCCTCACTGGTTCCTGAAACTCCTGGGTCCCTCTCCAGGGCCACAGTTCTTTCAGTAAAGGCTACTTAAGCCATCCTGTGATACTAGAGACAGTAGACTGAGTGTACCAGTTAAGCAGAGTCTTGATCCCAGTTAAGACTTAAAGATTACAAGTAAATAACATATTTGTTAAGCTGTTTCCTATTTTGAGACATAGAGTGCCTGGTTTATTGTCTCAGAAAAGCTCAGGAAATACAGTGGAGATTTAGCCTCAGGTTGTTGCTGCTGGCTGGAAGACAAGCTGTGCATTTTCTCTTGATAATGTGAATCAAGTACACAAATCATAGCTTGCCTTGTAAAACATGGCTGATAAAGGACTCCCCAGTGGTGGGGAGAAACCTTGAAACTGCTGGTCAAGATGCTGAGCAAGCTCTTCCAGCTACCATGAGCTCCTTGCTCCTCAGTTCATCATGATATGTGAACATCTATGGAGCTCCATGCATCAAACCACAGCCTGCTGCTGACTGCTCTTAGGACCTTGGGAAGATGCACTGAACCTAGGAACAAGGTCTTTCATTCCTGAGATGGGTACAAGCCTATTTGAACAAGAGACTGAGGTCCTCAGTACCTAGAGTAGGCTCTCCAAGTGTTAGCCAAGGATCTGGCTAGACACTCTCCCTGTTTCTACCTCCCTGCTCAGTGTAAACAGGCAAAGTAAAAGGACGGCCTTTTTGCCCAGTCCAGGCTGCCACCTGTAGAATAAGTCTCAGTTCAGAGAAGGCCCCAGACGAGCTTGAGCAAGGTGCATGGAACTCTGGTTTTCCTTACTGCTGGGCTAGGGGAGAGGAAGGTAGGTCCAAGAGGAGACACACTGTTATTTGAGGTGCTGTTGGTGTCTTAGGCGCAGTTCTCACAGAAAGTGGAGAGAGGAGGAAACCACACAGTGTTCTAGGTAGAGAGAGGTATCAGGGTTCAGAAGACCCAAGCAAGGTTTGAGAAAGCCACTCTTTAAGGTGTTGTGAGGGACAGCCTCCTGACAGGAGGCTTGTGCCCAGCCCATTTCCAGGACATCCTTTATAGCCCCTGCAATGTGAAAGGTCAAATATTGCTCCTTTCCACAGACACACCTGGCACACCCATGCAGTCTCCTCTCTCACCTGGATCCCCATAGGCTGTGCTTTACAAAGTCTGAATAAAGGAAACTAGGTTTTATGGGTCATTTTGCCTACTGGAATGACTTCTTTTTTTTTTTGGTTTTCAAGACAGGGTTTCTCTGTGTAGTTTTGCGCCTTTCCTGGAACTCACTTTGTAGACCAGGCTGGCCTCGAACTCACAGAGATCCGCCTGGCTCTGCCTCCCGAGTTCT